CTCAATGGATCTCATATTGCTACAGCTCTAACTCCCGGATAAACCCTTAAAATGTATATAAACATGTATATAAAATGCCTTAAAACCAACCAGTCAAAATAATAATTTTAGTGTGCACACCCCTTATAAAATGCATGTGACATTATCTAGTACTTGTTAAACAGAACTATATAGTGTCTTAACAGCCAAAAGACAACGATCCTCCCAGTGGAAATGCTAAACCAGGCGTATGATATCATTGCATATAAGCCAATCTTGGCTACGTGATGCCTAAGATGTCAAAAAAGGAATTGGGCTCTCCAAGGATGTTAATTTTACTAAGAAAGTGTTCAAAGCCATATTGAAAATAAAGGCAAAACAGGGTATTTAATAAACAGCATATTAATACTGATATTGTCCGTAAAGGAATCACACTTAGTCCTGTATTATTATTGATTTATCATAAACTATTTAAATATAATTTATCAAAGGTCTATAATGAAAGGGAGAAAAATGTCATTCTTCATTTCCTAATGACACAAACAAAATATATGTCAAGTAATGACAATGCACAAAGAATTGACAAAAAAGGGTTACTGCTACAAGAGCTCTAGTTAATATAAACTTGATTCGTCAAGCAAGCAAAAAGCATGGTATCTGCCTAACATGCATGCTAACAGTGCTACAGCACCTCACAGTTTGACACAGTGCATCATTCTGGTGTCATAAATGATGCAGACTGCCCCTTGACTATGACTGAATTACAGTTCTCAGGATCAAGATTGATAATGGGAATTATCCTTAGTTAATATATCCATTCTCTTAACTTGAGAGAGATCCAATTTAAATGATAAAATAGATGGTACTGGGTACCAGCAACATGATGAAACTGAAAGATAATCACAAAGAATCAGACAATTGTTGTTGGAGATGTTGTAATAAGAAAGGGAGTATGCTACATATTTGGTTGAACTGTCCACTCATAATAAACTTATGGAAACAAGTGTTTAAACTTAAAGGTCAGTGGTTCCCAAACTGTGTGCACATAGGGGCACCACGAAAAATGTTACCGTGCTACGATCATATGATGACAGCACCAGAAACTCTGCTCTCTCTTGCCAGCTCTGCAAAACTGGAGGGGTGATCAGAAATCTCCCTCACTGGCCTACTAGCAGTATAATGCTGGCAGCCAGCAAGGGAGGGCTCGGGGAAGCTCTAACATGCAGCTCTGCCGGGTTCTTCTCATGTGAGCTCGGAGCTTTGCCGTGGTTACCACGATAACACTCTGAATCTCACGAGAGTAAACTCTAGCAGCTCTTGAGGCTGTTAGAGTTCACTCTGACTACTTGAACCACCAGGGCTTCTCCATTGGACCACCACGCATTGCTTTGTACTGTCCCCCTTCCCAGGCAAAGATAGGCAGGGAGGGGGATATAAAAATTATTATTTTTAATTTGAAAAAATGAATTATATATCTATGAATTAGCCTTCCTACCCCGACAGACCCCACACCACACAATAACTCCCCCCATATACACCCACTGCTCACCCATACACACACACTATCCCCATACACATCCTGCCCCCCAATACACACACCCTGCCCACCCATACACACACACACTTCCCCCCATACACACACTACCCCTCCATACACACAAACTGTACCCCTCACACAACATGCCCCCTCACACACCCTTTACCCCTTACACACACACTGTACCTCTCATGCACAAACTGCCCCACATACACACACACTACATCCTTCACAAACACAATGCACCCCCGTACACACTGCACCACTCACACACATATATTGCACCCCTCACACACACGCACTACAGCCCCTAACCCGGAAGGTCCCAGGTGAGTTGGCAAATTGTTCTTAAACAGTTTGATTAATTACCCTGGGAGGGCACTACGGCACTGCTGGCACCATAACCACTACAATGTTATGTAGTGGTTATTGTTCCTGGATTGTTTCTTTAAATAATCTTCCAGGGCCACTCCCAAGATTAGGTTTTGGATCTGCGCCTGAACTGCAAGCATTTCTTCCGAACAAGAGTCCAGTATATGCCACGGTGCTGTACATATATACAACCTAAACATTTTTTTGACTTGGGCGCCTTGGAAAAATATTGAAATATTAAGGGCGCCTTGAACCTAAAAAGTTTGGAAACCACTGTTATAAGTGATCTGTGTGCTAGATTAATTAAGTGTACGCCAGAATTGGCCTTATTGAACTTAAATACAAAGGGAATATGAAAGGAATTTCTTCCTATAATTCTACATACAATAACATTAAAATATTAATAGCAAGGAATTGGAAAATGTGTAATATACCAAGACTTAATAATATTATTGCACAAAGTACCTGGCAAAGTAAAATGTAAAAAGGTTGTTTAAAATTTGAATATTTGAGATTAAGAAAACCTAACTGAGACCACTGGCTAAACAATTTAGAATCCCTATTGAGCAATAATGATTAATACTTAAAGGTTTAATAGTAAAATGCAAAATCATTTTATTTGTATATTAATTTTTTTTGTGGCTCTCTCTCAGGGATGTTTTTTTTTTTTGTCTTATATACGTATGTCTATTTGAACAAAAGCTGAGAGGCTGTTTGACTAATGGGTGACATAATTAATACTATGTATTTAAAACGTCTCTATTAATTAAAAAAAAGAGAGTGGAGAAATAGAAGAGATGGAATAAGTGTAGAGATGGACAAAGTGAGAAATCAGTTGATTAGTTAAGAAAGAGAGAGAAAAAAGAAAAATAGAAAGCTCTACTATACAAATGATACAACATCTCCTTTGAAAAATTGTTATATTAGTCTGTTTTATTATATGTTATATATGAAAAATAAAATGTCAGTTGTGACGAGACCAATCTCGCCACATTGCATTGGAGAAGCCTGGTTGCTCGCCTGCTGCCTTTGGACTATGGCCCCCTGTTAAAAGACATCTTTTTTTACCTGCAGAAAAGCTTCAGTCGTGCTTTTCTGCCTGGGTTTCAGTAGATTTGTTTGAATGTGTTATACCCCAGATGGGAATCCCATGGAGCCCACTCGTATGAAACTGACTGTAAAGACTTTGGCTCCATGGTGATTAAACTGTATTTGTGTGGTCCGAGCGCCATTCACTTAATAATGTGCGCTCAGACCTGAGCTATCTGGGGATATGTGAAATGTCTGTGTTTTATGTATAAATGTGACTTTATGTATTTTAGAGTGCTTTGTGTCTTTTTGCAACCATGTGCTTAATGGAGTCTTGTGTCTATCCTGGGAGATAATTGAATTACTTATCTCCAGGATAGAAGACTCTGAAACTAGTTTGGGCCAGAAAGCCATGCTTCATTTAGTCACAAAGGACTTTTTACTAACTTTTGAACCCCTTGTCTGATTTGTGCCATTTTTGAATATGTTGTTCCCCTGAATGGATTGATTGAGAATATGTAATTTTATGTGAATGTGATGTATGGTTTTGGAGTTATAAAAGTTGGGTAGAAAGTATGTTTTAACTGTTTGTATAATTGAGTTTCCTCTCAGGATAAGGGGAGGGAATATGTGGGATGTAACTGTGATTGGTTGTTTTGTAACGCCCTGTGGGCTGTACTATGTTTTGTGGATTGTAATAAAAACCAGGCTGGGTGTGCCAGCACTGGAGATTCTGCTTAACCCTCAAAACGAAGTGTCGTCTCGTTATTGGGGGAATTGGATTGTGTGCTGACTGCCAGGAGTGTAAGCCGTTTGTATTGCTTTTTCTGTTCGGCTGCTTCCAGGGTTCCTGTGTCTGCTGTTCGAGAGTTGGTGAATACGTGCAGTTTGGAGTTCAGGAGGTTGGTGATTGCAGTAGCTGCTGGTCTATGGGAAAGGGGATTATCGCCTAAACCGATTTTATCCCCTTGTGAGAGAAACGGTCCGTTACAATTGGTGGCAAGCGGCGGGATCGTTCCCACAGACTACAGGACAGCTACAGGCGACACCATTCCTTGGATTTACAATTTGAGGGCAACGCATGTCTGAGTACAGCGACCCTGACAGCAACAGCATGGAACCAGCAGTGTCATACGAGGAGGAGGACCTGGATGGCCGGGATGCATTAAGGAAAGGCATCTGGTACCAGGCCCTGGATAATGTACAGTACCAGCGGGGTGAGAGTCTCCCCAGTGAAGAGCAGCGGTTGCAGAAGCAAGTGGCCCCGCGGATGCCCTTCCTGGGAGAGCAGCCCCTAGATGAATGGGTGAAGGAATTGGAGCACCGGGTATGGCAGGAGATTTGGCTGGAAGATGCATACCAGGCGCTCTGGTGGTATGGGGCACATTACCTGCCCTGGACAGCCGAGCATGACAAGCCAGAGGGAGAGGAGTTTGATGGTCCTGGCTTGTTATGGGAGGTTTTTTCAGAGCCTGAATTTGGGAGCCCTACACAAGCCCGGTTCAGTGATCTCTTGGAGTGGAGGGAGAGCAGGTATGACTGGGACGACACTCACGACATTGAGCAAGACCTGGCACACCTAGCAACCCTGGAGTGGGAACTGGAGCAGGACTACCGAGATCTCTTCCACTCCATTGAGAAGATTCAGCAGGACAGCAAGGTGACAGAGCCAGAACCAGACCCATTCAGCTGGGAAGACATTGTGGATATTTTCTGGGAAGAATCCCAGGTGGCCGGTAGAGATGGGACCGAGGTCTCTCCACCGGTCCTGCAGGGAATTGGGAGCCCAGTCTCCATTCCCCAGCGGCCGTGTGATTTATTGGGAATTGGGAGCCCAGTCTCCATTCCCCAGCGGGAGATATTGCAGGGAATTGGGAGCCTGAGCTCCATTCCCCAGCTGCAGGCTGAGTTACAGGGGACAGAGATAGTCGCTCCTGTCCCCCAGCAGCAGAATGAATTGCAGGGAATTGGGAGCCCGAGCTCCATTCCCCAGCGGGAGAAATTGCAGGGAATTGGGAGCCCGGGCTCCATTCCCCAGCGGGAGATATTGCAGGGAATTGGGAGCCTGAGCTCCATTCCCCAGCGGCAGGCTGAGTTACAGGGGGCAGAGGTAGCTGTTCCTGCCCCCCAGCAGCAGAGTGATATGCCGGGAAGGCAGTGTGAAGTCCAGGGAGAGGAGAACAGTGTCCTCCCTCCCCAGCGGCAGCGTGATTTTTTGGGAATTGGGAGCCCAGTCTCCATTCCCCAGCGGCAGAGTGTCCTACCGGGAATAGAGAGCCCAGTCTCCTTTCCCCAGCAGCAGGACTCTGTATTGGGAGCAGAGACAGTCGGTCTCCCTCCCCCACAGCTGGAAGTATGTATGGGAGAGGAGCTTGTTACCCCTCTCCCCAGCGGCAGCTTAATGTACAAAGGGGAGACAGTAAGCCCCACAACCGTGCAGATGGGACCGTAGTCTCTACACTGCCAGCACAGGGGGTAGGGACGGTCGGTCCTGCCCCCCAGCGACAGGGCTGTTTAGCCAAAAGGGAGACAATCGGTCTCCCCCTCCAGCAGCAGAGATGGGTAACCAAAGGGGAGACGGTCGGTCTCCAGCAGCAGGACTGTGCAGCTAAAGGGGAGACGGTCGGTCTCCAGCAGCAGGACTGTGCATCTAAAGGGGAGACAGTCAGTCTCCAGCAGCAGCAACAGAGCGGTGTATTTAAAGGGGAGACAGTCGGTCTCCCCCTCCAACAACCAGGCTTCCACCAGGCTACCCTCCCAGTAGCGCTGGCAACAGGGCAGAGTGCAGCTGGTCTCTGCCCACGCAGCAACCCACCAAGTCAGCGTACCCGTACCCAGCACAGCCGTGGTGAGGCACCTGGACATGGACAAGCTTCCCCTTTACCCAGGTGTAGTAACCATTTATTGTGGGTGGGCTGTGCTGTTGATTATTTGTTGTGGGTGGGCTGCTTGACTAACAAGGGCACTGACCGGCAGGAGGTCAGATACCCTGTTAGTCTGTTTGGAAAAGGGGAGAGATGTGACGAGACCAATCTCGCCACATTGCATTGGAGAAGCCTGGTTGCTCGCCTGCTGCCTTTGGACTATGGCCCCCTGTTAAAAGACATCTTTTTTACCTGCAGAAAAGCTTCAGTCGTGTTTTTCTGCCTGAGTTTCAGTAGATTTGTTTGAATGTATTATACCCCAGATGGGAATCCCATGGAGCCCATTCGTATGAAACTGACTGTAAAGACTTTGGCTCCATGGTGATTAAACTGTATTTGTGTGGTCCGAGCGCCATTCACTTAATAATGTGCGCTCAGACCTGAGCTATCTGGGGATATGTGAAATGTCTGTGTTTTATGTATAAAATGTGACTTTATGTATTTTAAAGTGCTTTGTGTCTTTTTGCAACCATGTGCTTAATGGAGTCTTGTGTCTATCCTGGGAGATAATTGAATTACTTATCTCCAGGATAGAAGACTCTGAAACTGGTTTGGGCCAGAAAGCCATGCTTCATTTAGTCACAAGGGACTTTTTACTAACTTTTGAACCCCTTGTCTGATTTGTGCCATTTTTGAATATGTTGTTCCCCTGAATGGATTGATTGAGAATATGTAATTTTATGTGAATGTGATGTATGGTTTTGGAGTTATGAAAGTTGGGTAGAAAGTATGTTTTAACTGTATGTATAATTGAGTTTCCTCTCAGGATAAGGGGAGGGAATATGTGGGATGTAACTGTGATGTGATTGGTTGTTTTGTAACGCCCTGTGGGCTGTACGTTTTGTGGATTGTAATAAAAACCAGGCTGGGTGTGCCAGCACTGGAGATTCTGCTTAACCCTCAAAACGAAGTGTCGTCTCGTTATTGGGGGAATTGGATTGTGTGCTGACTGCCAGGAGTGTAAGCCGTTTGTATTGCTTTTCCTGTTCGGCTGCTTCCAGGGTTCCTGTGTCTGCTGTTCGAGAGTTGGTGAATACGTGCAGTTTGGAGTTCAGGAGGTTGGTGATTGCAGTAGCTGCTGGTCTATGGGAAAGGGGATTATCGCCTAAACCGATTTTATCCCCTTGTGAGAGAAACGGTCCGTTACATCAGTAAAGGGAATTTTTTTTAAAAATGAAAAGAGAGAATTACAGTTTTAAAGATAAAATTTTGCAAAACTCAGCATGCTGATATTCCAAAGTTTATAGTTGTCACAAAAATTTAAACTGCTACACAATCAGACATATATTTGTACAAAGTACATGCCCCAAGCTATTTAATTAAGAGCATTTAGACTTTTAATTTAACGATTTTTTCTCTCTTTATTATACACTAGTATTATTAAAACAAATCTGTCATAAAAATATTTTTTTCAAGATTTTAAACTAAGTGTATCATATAAAATAACTATACAGTGTATAAGCCTTAAATAATATCCTAGCCCAGGCATAGGCAACCTTCCGGATGTCTTGAAAAACACCTACCATGATGCTTTGCCAGCATTATGGATGTAAGAGCATTATGGGAGATGCAGTCCACAACATCTGGAGTGTCGAAGGTTGCCTATCCCTGTCCAAGTCTATTACATGATTTTAGGAAATATGTGCTCTGTGGAAGGTTAAGAGAAGAGACTGTCTCCTGCATAGTTGGAGTCTAGTTGAGTGTTCTGGAGGGGAATGCAGTGATTGTAATATGATTAGAATGTAGATTTTTTTTTTTCGTCATCTGGAAATGCATGTTATTAGAGGCTAAACTTTAAACCAGTTAACTGCAATTACATTTTTTTCACCCAGTCACAATTATTGTGCATTAAAACTTTGCAACATGGTAGTTGCAAAATAAACTGTAGCTATATTGTGACTCATTGAAAACATCACTGCCAAGAGAAACATGTATTTTGTTTGTGATTTGTAATATACTATCCCCTAGAAATTGTTTGCTTCACTGTAATTGGCTCCTAATGGAAACTGATTGAGATCTATAAAGGAAATGACAGCCAATGAGCTGCTAGTCTGAACAATCACATATTTGTATTGAAAATTTCACTAAATCCTTTATACAACTTTAAAGTGTAGTATACTCAGAAAAGAAACACACCAATATACTTCAAATACAAGTGTATATATACAATGGAAGTCATGTTTAGCACATAGAGTCAATTTAATGCCACAATGGCAAGTAGCATAATTATATAAAATAAACAGGCATGCATAAATAGTGATGTCGCGAACACAAAATTTTAGGTTCGCGAACCGCGAACGCGAACTTCCGCAAATGTTCGTGAACCCGGCGAACCGCCATAGACTTCAATAGGCAGGCGAATTTTAAAACCCACAGGGACTCTTTCTGGTTGAAGGGGGGGCGGAGGAGACCTACTCTCCCCCCCCCCGGCCCCCACCCCTGGGTGGTGGGTGGGGGCCATAAAGATAATGAGGGGGGGACCTACTGTCCTCCCCCTCTCCGGCCCCCACGCCATAATGATAATGAGTGGGGGGACCTACTGTCCTCCCCCGCCCCGGCCCCCACCCCTGTGCGGTGGGTGGGGGCCCTAAAAATAACAATAAGGGGGGGACCTATTGTCCCCCCCGGCCCCCACCCCTGAGCGGTGGGTGGGGGCCCTAGAATTAACAATAAGGGGATCCTATTGTCCCCCCCGGCCCCCACCCCTGAGCGGTGGAGGCTCCCAGCCCTAATAACAATAAGGGGGGGACCTATTGTCCCCCCCGGCCCCCACCCCTGAGTGGTGGGTGGGGGCCCTAGAATTAACAATAAGGGGGACCTATTGTCCCCCCCGGCCCCCACCCCTGAGCGGTGGGGGCTCCCAGCCCTAATAACAATAAGGGGGGGACCTATTGTCCCTCCCGGCCCCCACCCCTGAGCCGTGGGTGGGGGCCCTAGAATTAACAATAAGGGGGACCTATTGTCCCCCTCCGGCCCCCACCCCTGAGCGGTGGGGGCTCCTAGCCCTAATAACAATAAGGGGGGGACCTATTGTCCTCCCCGGCCCCCACCCCTGAGCGGTGGGTGAGGGCCCTAGAAATAACAATAAGGCGGGACCTATTGTCCCCCCCGGCCTCCACCCCTGAGCGGTGGGTGGAGGCCCTAAAAATAACAATAAGAGGGGGATCTACTGCCCCCCCGGCCCCCACCCCTGAGTGGTGGGTGGGGGCCCTAATAACAGTAAGGGGGGGATCTATTGTCCCCCCCGGCCCCCACCCCTGAGCGGTGGGTGGGGGCCCTAGAATTAACAATAAGGGGGGACCTATTGTCCCCCCCGGCCCCCACCCCTGAGCGGTGGGTGGGGGCCCTAAAAATAACAATAAGGGGGGACCTATGGTCCCCCCCGGCCCCTACCCCTGAGCGGTGGGTGGGGGCCCTAAAAATAACAATAAGGGGGGGACCTACTGTCCCCCCCGGCACCCAACCCTGAGCGGTGGGTGGGGGCCCTAAAAATAACAATAAGGGGGGACCTACTGTCCCCCCGGCCCCCACCCTGAGCCGTGGGTGGGGGCCCTAGAAGTAACAATAAGGGGGGGACTTATTGTCCCCCCCGGCCCCCACCCCTGAGCGGTGGGTGGGGGCCCTAGAATTAACAATAAGGGAGGGAACTATTGTCCCCCCGGCCCCCACCCCTGAGCGGTGGGTGGGGGCCCTAAAAATAACAATAAGGGGGACCTACTGCCCCCCCGACCCCCACCCCTGAGCGGTGGGTGGGGGCCCTAGAATTAACAATAAGGGGGGAACTATTGTCCCCCCCAGCCCCCACCCCTGAGCGGTGGGTGGGGGCCCTAAAAATAACAATAAGGGGGGACGTATTGTCCTCCCCGGCCCCCACCCCTGAGCGGTGGGTGGGGGCCCTAAAAATAACAGTAAGGAGGGACCTACTGTCCCCCCCGGCCCCCACCCCTGAACGGTGGGTGGGGGCCCTAAAAACAACAATAAGGGTGGGACCTATTGTCCCCCCTGGCCCCCACCCCTGAGCGGTGGGTGGGGGCCCTAGAATTAACAATAAGGGGAGACCTATTGTCCCCCCCGGCTCCCATCCCTGAGCGGTGGGTGGGGGCCCTAAAAATAACAATAAGGGGGGACCTATTGTCCCCCCCGGCCCCCACCCCTGAGCGGTGGGTGGGGGCCCTAAAAACAACAATAAGGGTGGGACCTATTGTCCCCCTCTGCCCCCACCCCTGAGCGGTGGGTGGGGGCCCTAGAATTAACAATAAAAATTATCTCCCTACCTACCCCCCTCACCCTAAAAATAATGAGGGGGGGACCTTTAACTAAAAAGCTGTAAAAAAAAAATAGATAAAAATAACTTACCATTTGATGTTTTCTTTCTTCTACAATCTTCTTTTTTCAGCCCCAAAAAAGGCCAAATAAAAA